TCAGATATTAAAAATTTTAAATCTCTAAAATCTTGTCTTAATTTTCTTTCATATGATTTCCACGTCTGAAGCAAACAAACAAAAAGTCATGAAAAAATATTTCCACAAACAAGTGGTTCTGATCACTTCTTAGCCACACCTGTGATATTTGAATTCCGCTATACCCACAAAAATGAAACTTTTAAAATGTGCTTGGTAATAAACTGTCTCAGTAAGAAAATTCTACATCTAAACACCTACTTTCCAAAATGATTTCAGGGTATTTGCATAAATGATCAGGTATATTTAATGGGTTTTTTTGCATTTTTTGTTCAGGGCTAGGTTTGAACCCACCAACTCTGGCATACTGGGCTGGTGCCCTCCTCCTTTGAGCCACAAGCACTGCCCTTAAGTTGGTTTTTAAACATAATTTAGTAAGTTTCTTAGATAGGCTTGACCAGAACAAATTATTGTTTTAGCAAAATGTAATTTTTTGTCTCAATTAGGGATTAGAAAAATGAATTTAATAAGTAAAATCGCAAAGAAAATGTCATTTATCTAAATTTGGTTACATTTTTGTCACTGTAGATCCTTCAATATAGAGTACTGCTGGTACAGAGTTCCTAGAGAGTTGATTTTCCAGATCCACAAAAACAGAGTTGGCTGAGCATGGTGGCTCACACCCGTAATTCTAGTACTCAGAGTCTCAGGCCAGTGGATTGCTTGAGCTCAGGAATTTGAGGCCAACCTGAGCAACAGGGAGACCCCGTCTCTATTAGAAATAGAAAAACTAGCTGGGTGTTGTGGTGGGCTCCTGCAGTCCCAGCTCCTCAGGAGCCTGAGGCAAGAGGATCACTTGAGCCCAAGAGTTTGAGGTTGCTATGAGCTGTGACGCTACAGCACTCTACCAAGGCTAACAAAGTGAGACGGTCTCAAAAAAAAGGTGGGGGGGGAATTGCTCCTTTGCTCGTAGTGAGAGGTGTTCTCAAATGGGGTCACCAGCTATGCCAGACCAAAATTGCTTACCATATGGTGGCCATGGACCTGCTGCCTAAGGCATCTTACGCTGCACACTCTACTTGACTGTGCGGTTCACGAATTAGTTTTTGCTGCTTTTCCTCTTACCTGATCACTCATGTAATGCTAATCAGAATTTCCTGTGCATACAGATCTTCTGGGGGTCTTGTTAAAATTCACTTTCCAATTTAATAGATCTGAAGTGTGGCCTGGGAACCCACAGTTCTTACAAGCTCCTAGGTGGTGCTAATGCTGCTGGTCTGCAGACAATATTAGAGAGCTAGTGCTCAGGTGGGAGATAGAATAAGCCCCCAGCCTTCTCAAACTGACGAGGACCTCAGAAATACCCAAATGGCTTGTTTAAACGCCTCCATCCCTGGCCTGGCACTCCTGCTCACCTTCCAAGTTCCCTGTTCAGTGGAACTGGGCTAGTGGCCCAAGAATTTGCATTTCTAACAAGTTGCCAGGTGATGCTGATCCTGCTGGTGTGGGAATTACACTTGGAGAACCCAGCATTTAGAATTCTCTATGGCTTCCAAAACGTGAGACATATGGTGGGCAGAGACGGCAGCACGTTCCTCCTGCAGGATTCCTGTCACGGGTGGAAGGTCTTTGTGAACCTAGATTTTAAAGGTAGCTTTGAATTATATAAACTTAATTCTTAATTTTCTCCATATTTTAGGAGACATAAAACTCAGTAAGTAAATCCTCTCATTCCCACTTTGAATTAGACAGTTCCTTTTAGTTTTTCTGGTAGGAAATAACTCTCCATGAAATATTAGGTATAAATTCTAAGACAAACATCACACATCTCAAATAGAGCCTTGAAATTTTCTTTTAGTAGTACTAATTTCACATTGTATCATTTAAAATAGGCTACAAGATTTAATTACTGTAGTTATAGGTATTAATTACTGCACCATGACAAAAAAATTTGAAATCCCATGTGTTCTCAGGCAAAATGTAGACCAGAAGGTCACACTTGTTTTTATTTCTGTTTCTTTTTTCTCTACAAGTAATAGAACAAAAAACTTCTAATTCTATAACTTAGTTTATAAAGGGTTGTTATGTTCTCACAATCAACAAACTTTAGGATGTGAAAATTTTAAAATAACTTGATTTATCTTATAAAATGTATATCATAAATGTCCTTCATAGATTTCTTTTCATGACGCTTCTTATTGGCTTAGTCTATTTGTCTATTTGAAAATGGCTGTTATTTTATTGTTGGTAATAAGGATTTGAGGTAAGGTGAAGTGTAGTTTTTACTTGTTTATGCACACGTTATCCTTTTGAAGAGTTTTTTAAAAAAAAATATGCTCAGTCAATTTTATTGGGCTCTACAAAATATTCAAGAATCGATCTGTTCTGAGTAGAGCTTTCTCCTGCAATACTACTTTTTAAAAAAAATTTCTCACATAGAAAAACAAATACAGTATCGGACCAAATACAATGTTCCTTCCTATTAGGAAATAAGATAGAAGAGGATAGACAAATGCCTCATATACACGTTTGTTTCATTACCCTGATTTCATTCAGGATTTTCAATCATTACAGGACTTCTATGACTAACATACTCTAAAAGAGGAGTTAACTTTTCTGTGAAAATAAAAATCTTCAACTCTAAAACACCCAGTTTGAGCACTTTCCACATAACATACCATCTGACATTTTCTACAAGTAAGCATATACATAGATATCAAGTTTTATGAAATACTTTTAATAAACTCAC